ATGTCTTTAAATTACGATGTTAAATTTATTTAAGTACAGAAATGGCAAAGTTTGCATGAAGAGTACTTCAATGTATAATATTACATTAAGCATAATATTTCATCCAAGTAAAATGCTTGAATTAATCGTATCTTCTCTTATATTTCCGGTATCTCCAATTTAAGTCAGTCAACGACCGTTTTTGAACTAGTGTAAAGACAATTTTGTATACAATTAAGATAATTTTCGATCAATTATACCAATGGATGATCATAATGCACATCTTTATACTGTAAAGTTAAAAAGGAATATAATTGTACGAAAATTCGTTGTCAACTGTTCATATAGTTATTTTATTACATAATCGCTTTGTTACATGATCACACTCTTACCTAATCTTTCTGTTGCACCATCACACTACAGAAGAAGCACGACTTAAGACCAATCTTTAAAAGAACGCAATTTGCTGTTCTTTATTTCAAAGGTAACATTTTCCAGGATTAAGACAACCCGCTTATCCACTATTACGACCACCAGTTTCAGTCCGAATTATTTGTTTCATTTCTTATTTTAACACACTATTGAGACCACTGATTTTAAAGTCAACACCTACCTAGATGGCAAGTTTGTTGCTTGTATAATTTAGAGAGGTTAAATGTTGTTGTCTGCACATTTATTTTATGGAGAACTTATTTCTTATTTGATAGGTGAATTATGTACACCATATAACACTGAAACCAGACCAATGAGAATTGTTTTTAATTTCTTCATAAATATATACAAAATGGCTGAAGTAAACTATATACACAATTATCCACAATGTCATTCAGCAAATAAAACAACTTTGTTTAAGTCCCGTCGGTGGTCTTAATAAGAGGGGTTTTTACTGTATAGCAACATAATCTCTCTGTTAAATGATCACTTTTTTAAATGATCACACTATTATATTTATTATTTATCATTTAATTCTTTATCATAGTCTCATCAATGTGATACATTATATACAACATTATCATTAATAAAAAGCATAATTAAAAAAAGACACATTGTCACTTTGAGAATTTGTATATGTTAATATCATAATACAAGTAAACTCGTTATAATTACATAATGGAGTATTAAAATTCACACATTATAGTACATATATCACGCCCGTTTATCTCACAACGAGTGAAAAATGTCCATCGGTAAAAATGTTGTGAGCAACTTCCGTTCCTCGTTGTGAGCACCCATCTATGACGAGTGACACGATAAACAAGGTGAGTTTTTCATAATTTTTGAAGATTACAGACATTTATGTAAAAATATCGGAATGCAGTTAGCTAGCGATGTGTTTTCCGAGTATGCACATGTAAAGATATTGCCTGTTGGTGGACAATTTGAGGAAATACCGTGCGACGCAGACACTCGGGGTAGCTGGAAAACTGGAGACAACTTCTCTTTGGACCTAATTTAACATTGGAAACGTCGATTCTGGTGACGTTTTGTGCATTCTAACATAAAACAGATGCCCACAAGTCTTCAGCGTAAATTATTATCTGAAAGTCTTCGTAGAAACGAAGATATACTCTTTTTTGCTTTAATCCTCGTTGTGAGCACCATCACCTCGTTGTGAGCAAGACAAGCGCAGTGCTTGTCTGGTTTTAATATGTAATTCAAATGGCAAGAATACAATTTTCAATCTACCAAAAGCAATCAAAACGTTTTTGTACAATAGTTTTTCTTGCAATAGTTCTTTTTTTTCTTTTTTGAAAATTATTCTTCATATTCACAAGTCATCAGATTAACAGAAGAACTAATCAGTGGAGGTAAATCAGGTATTTTAAATTTATTTCGTATACTCTAGTGTGGCACAAGTGAACATCACGGGTTGTTTATGAATATTTCAACAATTTCACAATCTGTGTGATACACACATACATGTGTTTATCCTGAGCTGAAGACTGACCAAGTTATGTAAAACAAAAACTATCACGGTAAGTTGACAATGCCCCTGAAGTGGTGCTTTGTCCTTTGATTTATGGACCAGATAGATTATTTGTTTTTGGACAATTAGATCTTCAATGTGAAGGTAATTCAAGGTCAAGGTGAAATAAATATAGGTCAGTTGGAAGGTCTTGTCCAAAGGGGCATTGTGTCCAAATATGAATTAATTCCACTTACTTATAAAGAAGTTATGACCAATGTTAAAGTTTTTGGATGTTCTAGAAGGTAATTCACGGTACAAGGTAAAAAAATACAGATCAGTTTGAAGATCTTGCCTAAAGGGGTGTTGTTTCAAAATATGAGTAGAGTCCGTATACTAATAAGGAAGTCATGACCAATTTTGAATTTTTTGGACAATTTGACCTTCAAGGTGAAGGTCATTCAGGGGTCAAGGTCAAAAGAATATAGGATAGTTGAAAGGCCTTGTCCAAAGATGTGTTGTGCCTAAACATTATGCCAGGACATTATGGCCAATCCTAAATGTTTTTGGACAATTTGACCTTCAAGGCAAAGGCCATTCAGGGGTCAAGGTAAAAAAAAATACAGGTCCGTAGGAAGGTGCTAAGGGATGTTGTGTTCAAATAACTAATACTAATAAGGAAGTTATGGCCAATGTTAAAGTTTTCGGACAGATTGACGGAGTGACAGACGGACAGTTCAAAACTAATATGCCTCCCTTTGGGGTATGCACAACGTCTTGCAAAGAAATGCTGCTGTGCAAAAACGTTTTAATTGCTGTGGTAGATTGAAAATTATATTTTCATCATCTGAATTACATATTAAAACCATACACGCACTGCGCTTGTCTTGCTCACAACGAGGTTATGGTGCTCACAACGAGGATTAAAGCAAAAAAGGGTATATCTTCGTTTCTATGAAGACTTTCAGATAATAATTTACGCTGAAGACTTTTGGGCATCTGTGTTAGGTAAGAATGCACAAAACGTCACCAGAATCGACGTTTTCAATGTTAAATTAGGTCCAAAGAGAAGTTGTCTCCAGTTTTCCAGCTACCCCGAGTGACTGCGTCGCACGGTATTTCCATCAAATTGTCCACCAACAGGCAATATCTTTACATGTGCATACTCGGAAAACACATCGCTATAGCTAACTGCATTTCGATATTTTTACATAAATGTCTGTAATCTTCAAAAATTATGAAAAACTCACCTTGTTTATCGTGTCACACGTCAAAGATGGGTGCTCACAACGAGGAACGGAAGATGCTCACAACATTTTTACCGATGGACATTTTTCACTCGTTGTGAGTTAAACGGGCGTGATATATAATATTTTCATCTGTATGGGACATTCATGATTGTATATAGTATGCCCTAGTCATGTTCTGGATTATATCTGGATATTATCGCTGTGTAACATGAACAGACTATAACATAATCTCTTTGTTACATGATCACACTATAAATCAATCGCTTTGTTGCATGATCAGAAAGTTATATGATCACTTTGTTACAATACCACACTATTACATGATCTCTTTGTAACATGATCACACTATTAAATAATTGCTCTGTTACATGATCACACTATCTTATGATTATTTTGTTATATAAGCACGCTATAGAAAATGTATTCGCTCTATTACATGATCACATTATCACATTACTGCTCTTGTACATGATCACACTGTCCTTTGATCACGTTGTTACATTAGCACGCTTTTAAATAATCGCTCTCTTACATGATCACACTGTTATATGATCACTTTGTTAGATGATCACACTATAACATTATGCTCTGTTATATGATCCTTTTGTTGTATTTCACATAGTGTTTGTCACTTACCACTGTTCGAAGTATCATTTATAATGTTGAAAAGTATTTTGACAAAAATGATATAACCAGGGTCCGATTGTACTACTTGTAAAACTATGTGATAATCATTCTCTATGTGTGTTTCTAAAATTGATGCTATCTATCTCAATGCATGTATAGACTACTGTTTCCCGGACATTAACATATCGATAATGGCCAATTAAATAATCTCAGTATTTCATCACAATTTCTTATTGATTCTAGTCATATTAAGATGCAATTTAGCTCATATATTACATTATTAAATCTCTTTAAAGTCGAAATGGCAAACACTTTAGATGAGAAGTATTGCAACATAACATTAAGCGCAATAATTCATGCAGATAAAAGTATTTTATTGACAATATTTGCCGTTATGTTTCCGGTATGATCATCATAATTCAGTCAATGGCATTTTAGGAGTTGTAATTTTTATATTGCAGTTTCTTTAAAAGATTGATATTACATTCAAATGTTTTATGGGATAAATGATTAAAATGCTTTGCTGGCGTTAATAAATGTTCAAACATGCTGAAAATATAAGAAGGGGAATGGCACAATGTATCAGCCAATGTATTTTATTAAACTTCTGAAATAAACTCGTACATGTCATTATAGAAATATTTCAGGTAAATCATGGAGAAAGTTTCTGTAAATCATCATTATGACTATTGACTTATATTCTTTTTATTCCAAACTCATTTGCTATTTAGCTGATTATAGAGTGGTATAGTAAGACGAACGCCAACAATAAACCAACAACCAACACACGGCTTACTTGCGATGTATATACGGGCCTGACTATAAATTTTCCGTTAGGAAAGGTCTAAGGCCAGTAAAATATTTAGCTCTTTTCGAAGGATTAATTTTGAACACCTGCTAGCCATGTCAGTTTAATTAGAAGATCGATCTGTGGTTTTGAACGGACAATGCGTAAGTTTTATTATTAAAATGCCTTAAAATTATACCAAAGCCTATTAGATTTATATACGTTTGGATTACAACATGACTTAATATAAATTAATGTTATTTATAATACATGTAACAAAGGTAACATACAATGATCGACATGATCACTGTGTTAACGTTATCAGATGAACTGTTTAAAAATTCATAAAAATCATTGAGATATTCAATATACATGTATAAAGTTAGTTTGGATAAATTATTTATTTCTTATTTATGAATTAGTGTTACTAAATATCATAATTACAATGTCAGTCTTCTATAGAACATTTATTAGCAGACCAAACCCTGTGAGTTCAACATTGAATAATTATAAAGCAAAACGAGGGTAGCAATACAAATGCACTTGCAAATATACATAATGTAAAAAGAAAAGTACGGTCATAACTGAAGCCTAAGCAATAACAAAATTTAGAAATAACAATATTTGAAATGATTAACAGTTTAATTAAGGAAGAAAATGTATTTAAAACATTTACCAAACTGAATGCTAAGTCAACTAATCTAGCAAATATTATCCTTAAAGTTTTCGATGTAGACTTCATTATACACTCGAACCTACAAAATGAACTTTTTTTTATTCTACTATACGTTTAATAAATGTGAGCCATATCTACATATAGAGGATCTTCATATAGAGTAATTAGATATAGAGGCTATACATATAGAAGACGTCATATAGGGGACATAATGTACATATAAACAGGACACATATAGAGGTCATACATATAGAGGACGTCATACAGAGGACATACATATAGAGGACAAAAAGTTATTTAAAAGTAATAAACAGTTGAAGAAAACAACACCAGCAACAAAGAAATCGAGCTATTTGGAAACTGGTTCCAGAGGCTACAAAGTTCTCATAAAGAAAATAAATGAACGTATTCTAAACAGACACAGTAACAATATCATATAATAAATTAAATTATGTGAAGTTTCATTAGCACTGTTGCACAAATCATCGTCATCACAACAATTTTTACGAACACAACCACGTGATGTTTTTAATTGTTTCGTGCAATTTACAAAATCATTTCTTTCTATACAGTTATGAGAGCATCCCCGAACAGTTGATGTGTGTAAGGCAATGAATTCTCCATCATCATTCTCTTCCTCCATTTCAAAATAAACTTTCTGAAATATTCAACGTAGTGAATCACTATTTCTTACAAAAATATACGAAAGACCGGTGGGGGCATTTCAACTTCATGAATTCCCGATTTCAGCTTCATGAATTCTCGATTTCAACTTCAAGAATTCACGATTTCAACTTCACGAATTCACGATTTCAACTTCACGAATTCACAAAATGAAGCTGAAATCGTGAAGTTGAAATCGTGAATTCAGGAAGTTGAAATTGTGAATTGATGAAGTTGACATCGTGAATTCGTAAAGTTGAACTCATGAATTCACGAAGTTGAACTCGTGAAGTTGAAATCGTGAATTCATGAAGTTGAAATCGTGAATTCCTTAACTTGAAATCGTGAATTCATGAAGTTGAAATAGTTGAAGTCGTGAATTCACGAAGTTGAATCGTGAATCGTGAATTCCCTATTTTGAAAATGGGAATTCACGAAGTTTTAATTGTAAATTTATGAAGATGAAATCGGGAATTTATGAAGTTGACATGGCCCTACCGGTCTTTCGTAAAAATACGCAACAACTTAATGTAAATGTTGTTCAAACATGCCTTGCTCAAAGTTTACTTTACAAATAAAATCTATATACATATAGATATCTATTTCTTATTAATTCATAAACTGAATAAGCGTATAAAGCGAAACATAATTAGATTTTTAAAACTGTTTTATTCAGCGAATTTATTCATAGGAAATACAGTACGATATATTTACACCACGGATACTGTTATACCTATGACACTGTTATACAGCCATGTCAGTCTGATTTAAATCAGCTTCTAATAAAAACTACATGGCAAAATATAACATAAGTCGATATTAACTTCAGTTATATTGACAGCCATGTTTAAATTAGTATACATTCACTCTGTCAAAACGGAATTTTTGACTGGATAATTTTTAGCTTTGAAATCCGCCCTCAAACAGGCCTAATTAGGAATGAAGGGTGAGTCCATTATAATTACAAATCAATGAACATCTTACCTGACATGATTGTCCAGCACTACATAATTTTTCGGAAGCTTTATAATTATCACTGGGGTCTTTAGAACAGTCGTCTGCCACGCAATGCCAACAGTGCAATTGCTGACCATTCACTAAAAGGAAAAATATAAATTGAAATGAAGTTCATTTTCTTTTTAAAATCTAAACTAATTTGCAGATAATGAAGAATTTATTACACGTGAGAATAGCTGTATAATTTTAACAAGCCGCATAATCCAAAACTTTATGACAAAAATATAATTATACAAAAAACGTAATTTGAAAGTGTATAAGTTTAATGATTGTTGTTTCAGTATACAATATTTAGGATCGAAAGGTTTATTTCATGTTTCATGTCGACATTTTCATTTTACTGATCTCAAAGCACCTTTTACATCTTTTAGAAATTGAAAGGTACTAATTTAATTTAATTATTGAAAAATTAACATTATTATATAGAAATATTTCATAAAACAACGTCTAACGTTGAAACTGTTTGGTAAACAAAATGCTTGACATTATTTAAGTTTATTATATTTGGCAATAAGCTAAGGTTAACAATGCAAACAATGTATACTGACCTACATAGAATGTACATACTGCTAACACTATGGTCAGAATTATCTTGTTAATCTTTGTTACCCGGCATAGTAGCAATAAAATCATTGAATCCTACAGGTCCATCATGCAGTGTTCTTTATATTGAAGACCTGTAATTGATTACTTTCCAATTAATGTTAATTAAAAATTTAAAAAAACAACCAGTAATACAAGTTGCCGACGGGTTATGTAGTCTGGATATGATAAATATAAGACCCGAGTTTGCTAGGTTTATATTTATGTTAGACAGGCTATATTTCGTCATTACTTGTAAAACGATTTATAATAACGCAAATTGTTTAATGAAAAAAAAAACAACAACAAAAAAAACAGCAACTTTATATTGCCACAAACTGTCAAGTTAACGCTGCGCAATAAAAATAAGTATAAAGTTATCATTTTTCAAACTATTTGAAGTGATGACATTTGAATCATAACACATGCATTTGACATGTTTGAAAGTAATGTGTGGAATTTGTACATTCTTCGGTTCTTCAAGACATGCAGGATAGTATACAAAGTGGAATTCGAGAATATTTTTTCATTATTATAAATATTTACATGTATAAAGATAAGAAAATCAAATTGGTTTTCAAGGTTGATTCAGTCATGTACGTAATATACATAACCCGAATCAACATTCAAAATCATTTAAGTAAACGGCATTTTTGAAGTTATACAAACTGTCAATATTGATTTGGCATAAATGTTATTGATACGATATATATCAAATCTGAAAAACCTACAAGTTTTTTTGTTTTAAATATAAAATTTTATCATGTTAGCAGAATCATTTTTAAGAACTAAGTGTTATTTATCCAATTTATCCTGAATTTAACAATAAAAAACTGAATCACATTACAACTTGTTAAACACTATTAATGCATACTATTTCGAACAGTTTCTTAGACTTTACGAGTTGGAATGGAAATATGATAAACAAGATTAACAAAGAAAGGCGGCGTTCAATGAACGCAACCCCCACACGACTCAGCAACAAGACCCAGTAGCAAAGAGCCCAGGCGGACCCAAACAAAAAAGACAGGCACAAGGCAGAGCACGGACATGTTAATCACTAAAATGATAAATAATTTGTAACTGATAAGGAATTCAAAGAAAAACGTTTTCTTATTTTGCGTACTCTGTGATATAATTTGCATGTTATGTCGTTCAGATGTTTCTATTTAAATACTCTAATCTAAGGCCGTTGCTATATTTATAGCAAAGTGCAATAAAATGCAATTGTAATAAATATTTTAATGTAATATTAATAATTGTTGATCTCTGACAGAACAAGGGTTTCCTAGATGTTCCAGACATGAGAAAAATGGTAGGAACAAATATTTTGACATAATTGTTTTATAATATGAGAACAGAGTTCAAGTGAAGAACAATTCATGTTTTGATAATAATAAGTGTTAGATACATGATCCATTTTCATCGACATTATTTCACAAAACTTCAAAACTACTTTAAAACGTTATAATACAAATATTTTATTAGCGGAAAAAAAAACATAATAAAAAATCTCAGTATTGTACTTGAAAATTAAACAAGTCTTTTTTACAATATCATATAAGTAATAAACCAGTGAAGAACATTAGTACATAACAGCAGTATACCTACCTTGTTATGGCATGATCTTTAAATCACACTTTCTATTAATTTATCCATTTCACATTAATAATTTAAGGTTTCTAAAAACTGTGTGATTTTGTAAACTTTAAAAATTCATATACACATTTTATATGCCTTTCAACAATGTTTGTTGAAGTAATATTTGTTAAACAATCACTTAAAACATTACTAGCTCACTACGTTAGAAAACCTGTGAACAGGAATGTTGTTTGTTATAACAAGATAATTCTTATCAGCACTATATGTTGGATACACGCTATGCCTGCCATGCACGATCATAATTCGAACGATAGAATTCTAATAGCTCTTTTCAATGATTTCAGAAAGTATTCCTGCAGTCAGTCAAAACAGTAGCAGTCGAACGCTAATCACATTATTCGGTTTATACTCCACATTCTCTGAAGATACTAATTTTACAAGTATAGGAATAATTAACATGTGATCGACAAACAACGATAGACACCATCTCGACAACACATATTAGATGCTTGAATACACATCACATATAGATAAGAATACCAATTAATAACCATTCTGTATAGTATATTGTTCTGAAGTGAGAAAATTGCATGCCAATTACTCGAGTATACACAATATACCAAATTGCCTTTGGGATGTTAATGATCTTACGTGGTCATTGCACTTTTTTATACAAAATGTTTAGTATAAAAAGTAATGTTAATTTATAAGAACATAATGTAAAAGAAGTGAATAGGGCTAGATCCCTCGAAAAGAACCTTAAAGAAATTAAAAAAATGATGAACAATGAAGAGATACGATTGTTGTTAAAAAAAGAGAGATAATGATAGCAGTGCACTATCCCCAACACCCTAGCACCGCATAAGCATACTCGGGTTTCAACATTGTAACGATTGAAATAAAAATCCCCCAACGACCAAATCGGGGGGGGGGTGGGGGCCGTGCCATTACACATATTAATTTCACTGAGAACTTTACTAAGTGTAAACGTTACTGGAGTTTACAGTCCGTATTGAACATAATGAATTTCTCGATGATATAGTATAAAAAAGTTACAAAATAATCTTAGTCAATGTTTTGTTAGGAATGTTTAAATGATGAGTCAGTTTATAGTTTTAAAATATTCACGTTCAGTTTTTCATAACTCTCTGAATATAATTTAGTAACGTAGCCAGTCCATCAATGAGTTTTTATCTTAATTTTTCCCCCTCAACAAATTGCATATAAACCATATATAAAGACAGACATGTAGAGATTTTGATGCTAAAGCATCAAGTCGCCGGATAGGAAAATGATAGTATTATCATAAATATAAGAAAATATAAGTTTAATGGTTCAAGTATAAAAATAAGAGGAACAATGAGTTGAGTAATGTTTGCCACTGAGGCTTGTAAGGCAAGTGCTATGCTGATAATTCTTCTTGTAATTTTACTGTATATGTACAAATTTGATGCTTTTAATGGTTTATTGAACAGAATATCTAGTATTCAATGTATAAATATATTATGGTATTTTAAAAAAGTAAAAAAAAAATATCTGCATTCACGTACTAATGATGCATATGAAACGTTTACCAAAGATTGTGTTATTTTTTTGTCGACTTAATGAAAATTTAAAACTGACAAAACATCATGATATCTTACGACTATATGTAGAAAAGTATATGATTATGTTATGATCGTTTTATTTTGAAACTAAAGTAGCGAAACAAAAACAGTAACTTTATATTAGTGACACAAATAAATTTAATATCATTTTTCGGGTTATATGTGCGAAATTCAGTTTAGATAATACATTGTACATTAATTTGTTCATGATTATTAAAATTGATTCAGAAAATTGCATGCACTTGCTATATGATTATGTATTGTTAACATACATTTAATATGATTCACGACAAAATACAACGCTATTCTCTTTAAAATAAACTTCACATACATCCGACATGATGTTATTGGTATTAGTTTGGTATTAGGCAAATATATTTGAATATTTAATCTGAATTTAATGAACTTAAATAGAAAAATTCAGGTTAGATAATTTCACCCAATTTTTTATTGTATTCGCTGATCGTATGAGCGGCTAATTATATTTTCATTTTTACTGCTGACGCTATGCGTTATAAACGAAAACATGTCACATCTGGAAATTTTGGGACATTATAATATGTAATAAGATTATGAATAGATAGAATGGAAATAAAAAAGTGAATTTGTTTAAACCTTTTCCTTTTTCAATGCATTTTGGTATAGCCAAGATAAATGTTTCGTACTTATTTTTTTTATATGTAGAAATGTATTGACTTTTTGTATAATAAACTAACTTCATCGATCTGTCAATGTGTAAGTATATTTGGTAACTTAATAAATATAGCGATAAACAAGCTTTAAATTGACAGAAAATGAAAACAAATCAGTCTTAATTACTTCCGCACCACTGTCTTAGACAAGAAGCTTGTCTAAGGAAAATGGTGGACTTCGCAGTCATCATAGCTTGGAAATGAAAAAGATTGCTGATTGGCCTATCTCTGTGACCCCTGCCAGTTTGTTTGACGTAATGTCAATTATTATCGACATGATTATACTGCACAAATGATGAGATATTATACGAGAATAAGTTTGTAAATTCAACTTTTGTTTATTTGACCGTAAAAAAGAATACCAGTATTTTCAAAATATATCACTACAGAAAATTGTTTCTACTGTATTATTTTATTGAGTAAAGAAATTGCACACTTCTGAAAACAATGATATATTTATACATTGTATATTCTTTTTTATACGTAGTCTCATCTATACTTTTTTGTTTGTTTTGGGTTTAACGTCACATCGACACAGTATAGGTGATATCGCGACGTTCCAGCTTTACTGGTGGAGGAAGACTTCAGATGCCCTTCGAATGTAAATTGAAAGACAAGAGTTGAGAACAAAAATGTTAAAGACAATATTTATTGTCAACAACATTGACATAATTACACATTAAAAAATATTTTAAGGAAGCTAAATGATCGTGCGATACTATATTTTAGCTGTGAATACAATAACTTTTCGGTACACTAAACATTTAATCTGTTGTGTTCGTATTAAAGTCATACAGATCATTTTAAAGCATATTTTCCTTGATTATATCTCGCGTTAAGATATGGTGAAACAAAAGAAAATAACAAAAAAAAAAACTAAATTTGTTACAAAAGGAAATAAAACCCATCTTTTTTACAAGAGAGACACCTGGCTAAGTTTTGTTTTTCTAAAAGCAAATAACTTATGAACTATTTGAAACGGTGTACAAGTTACACTTCGTGCTATTTCTCTTACATTCAATATGTACTTGATGTTATTTTCATAACTATAGATAAAGACAATAGTAGTACAATAAGCTTAAATATCCCATAAACCCATAGTTATAGCACATAGCTATATTTGATACATAGGTCTCTGGCGATCCTACGGCCAAAAACCGGCACTCGGCGTACACTCATCGAAGTACAGCCCTGACTCTAAAGTTTTTTTGCAGGAAGTAAAAAAATTCCATTCTGAACATTTTGGCTTGTATAAGCTTAACCGTCAGTCTCGGTTATTGCTCAATATGCAAGTCTTCCTTGAAATATATTTTTAACTTTAAACGACTTAACTGTCACGTGTACTTCAGATGAAAACAAGATGTAACCCTATACACAATCACGCATTCACTGAATGATTTTTGACGTGTACACTCATGTCAGGTAGAAAATGTTGGTCCATTGCTCTCGACTACACAAAGTATATGGAAAGCTGTCCATCGGCGTTCGCATTCTGATTTTGGTTAAGATTTAAAATATTTTACTGTAACATTTGTTTTATTTCTACAGGAATTTAATATGTTTTGTTCTTATCATTAGACACATCATGGTTAAGATGGTTTACCACATAAATTTTATTACTATAGGGATTTTTTTTTCAAACTTCCTTTACCATCAACCACTTTATACCTCTTAAAGCTATATCCAATTTTAAACTTTAAAGACATACTTTTTCATTGTTTTTTCCCTTAACAAAGAAATTTAAAGTATGCTGTAAGTAAGTGTTAATTACTACGCTATACTGGTCAAGAATGACGCAGCATTTTGACATTATGTGTTTGAAGTTATTTTGATAAATAGTAATTACAGCAATCCTATCGGATAAAAAATAATATCAAACACTAATTATCTTTAGCAAGTGACCCCTGCCTTGCAACGATGTATTAGTTTATTGTTGAAAAGTTAATTCATGTAATTTACATTAATCGCTTCGAATTTGTATTTTAATTGTAAATACATATATATGAAATGTTATTTATATTATACAGTATATAATGTAGTAGTTGATATTAGCTGACAAAAATGGGTTGCTCCTTTATGTTAAGTCCGTCTCACATAGAGCACGGTTGGGCACACGTTTCCCATACGGTATACTCGGTTATACACGGATTGTCTAGTACGAGTATTTAGCGCTCTAACCGTGCCTGGGGATTAGTTGGTACGAGTAAGACTCGAATGTAGCACGAGTATGTACGAACAAAGCACGGACATACTCGGTCAAGCAAGGTTAGAACACGATTTTTATACGAATACATACGATCGTTGTACGGTTCCAAGTACAGTCTACATGGTCTAGTACGATTTAACACGACTTTTACTCGATTTACTCGACTTTCACAGGGTTTAAACAGGGTCCCGCTGACTGTTGTTCGAGTTATGCTCAAGTTATCACAGATTCGTGAATGTTTGATATAAACTGACCCATAATCATGGTTAGGCTTCATAAATGTTCAAACTTACAACGCAGAAACGTCTATATATGTGTGAAAAGTAGCCGTTTAAAACAAACCCAGATGCAAGAGATGAAATGATAAGATAATTGGAACACATGATACATAAGACTGATAGAAATTGGTGGGTCCCCCAGCTCATCAGGCTCGGCACTGTTAGCAGGTTGCAGTGGTCGGCGGGCCTGGATGGCCCTTCTTTATTCCTTCTATGTGTGGGAACCTTCCTTATAAATTGGATGCATTCTTGTGTAATGCAGCAAGTACTCTGGGTAGATCTAGCAGTTGAGGGTGGCAGCAGGTAGTTGTGGGTTTCGTTATACAGATCGTGCTGACGTAGAGGCCGTGTAAGACCGTACGAGGTCCTGTGTGACCTTGTATACCCGTACTATGCCATGTCTGTCATGTATGATTCGTACTTGAACCGTATTGGTCGTATCGTATAAAAACGTGTGTGAATCGTACCGTGATCGTGTGACATTTGGGAGTT